ATAATTAGTCCCCAACCTTCCCTTTTCAGGCAAGTTTATGGAGCTGATGGTAGTGCCTGGTGGGAGTAGCTTATCTAGACCCTTTCAGTCAAGTTTCAACCCTGCATGTAGTACAGAGGATGCCATTGATTATGCTAGTGAATATCTGGCTTGTGACCTGATTCTCCCGATCCTTCTTTATCCCTTGTACTGTGTTTGAATGCTAGTATGGTTCTACACCATTCTTTGTAGTCAGTTTTAGTTAGTATTAATAAAGAGGAGAAAATGTACCTTAGGATCTTGCTTTATGAGGTTCTTCAATGGTCAACACTTTTATTTCTTCTGTTTAGCCTCTAAATTAGGTCATTGAATAAGAGACTCTGACAGCATGGAGTCAGGTATCATCAATATGCACAATATACCTAATGGCATATCTCAATCCTAGGCCAACTGATGATTGAGCTTCTGTCTCATTGTCTGAAGTTAGGTAAAGTTTGCATGAGAAGGAACAGGTTTAGATTCTACCCTAATAAGACTGAGTATCAATACAATACAATACAATAGCTGACTGGGAAGGGACCTTGGAGGTCTTCTAGTCCAACCCCCTGTCTAGGCAGGAAACCCTANAGTATCTTTTCATTATAAATCCACAAGAACATCTTGAGTTAGACCCAATTGGGAGAAAATGCGTGTTTGGAAATTAACAGGAAGTTTCATGATTGAGTGGAGACTATTTTTTTTAAAAAAAAGTGTATATGCAAAATGAAAGAAAGAGCATAAACAGAGAGAGAGAGAAAAAAGGACCCTCCTCTAAATTTATACATCTCTTAATGAAACAAAGTTAATTTTACATGTATATCCATATCTAGTTATACAAATGAATTAATAACATTTAAGTCTGTCTAATTTAGAAACAAGTGGGGAATTAAACATATAAACTACTTTATGTACATACTTTTCTTACCTTATAGTTGATAAAATAGATTTAGAAGGAAATTGCTGGAATACAAGGAATTACGTTCTTCAGACCATTACATAGCTTTTTCAGAATAATTACCTTTAAAATTTGTATCATTTAATGTTATACTGTACAAGAACACTGCATCCATTGCAACTGTCTTCATGTTAATTTCAAAATTACTGGAAAATACTAATGATCGCCTATAACCAATGAATTTTCCAAAACAAAATTAATGTTGTCAGTGAATCAAGGCTTTTATCTGGATTTCCCCAGTCTAACATCTTAACCAGGAGTCTGGCTTTAGGAAGTGTCTAGAGAAATTTCCTACAGCCAGGTAGGAAATATTAGCCTTGGCCCTGAATAATTTCATAGATTAATAAAGTATGATAATGAGCCTTGCAGTATTAGACTACAAATTAGTCTCCTGTTTTTAACAACAAACATCCAGGAGTTTTAAGGACACTAACAATGACAACATAAAATCCTTCTATGTTGATTCTGTTTTTACATGCCTCTGCAAGAAATATTCAAAGATATATTGCATCTGAATCTATAGTTATGATCATAACTGAATCCTTCTAATCCCATTTTAAAGTTCCTATACTTAACTCCACATTTATGACAGCCAATTCTATAAGGTAATTACACTGTGACTAATTAATTGGGTGTTTTAATCTATCTTGAATCAAATAGAATTGGTTTCACTGACCCAGACTCTAGAAATTTACTCTAGTTAAAGTATTCCACTTCTTTTCTTACAACAAAGAAAAAAAAACCCAACTTTGAACTAACTTTGTCTTTTCTCTAAATCATCATTAACAACAACAAAAAAACTTTTTCTTCTTTTTACAGAATGAAAGTTTGCATTTTTCTGCTGCATCTCTATCATTTTTTTCAATAACCATATTTATAAGAGATTATACCATAATCTCACAACGTAGGCATTATATATAATACAAAATAGGGAGATTTAATACTGGAGGATAGTTATCTAAAACTCCTGAATCTAAGGATGGTCTTCTCAGAAGGGCATACACTCCTTCTCAAACAACTTTCTTTCAGAAAGCAGTAAATCACTTATTTAAATATAAAAATGGAGGGATATTGTACAATAGAATGATGCGTATGTGTATTTATTGTAGAATTATTGTGTGACTCATTGATTAAAACAGTCTAAAAGATAAACTGCTTTTCAAACAGCCTAGATAACAAAGATAGTATGTGAAATTAATTACTTTTTTTTTTAAAAAAGAAAAACCTTCATTATCTACAAGCATTATATACCCAAGAACTATTGATTAAGCATGAGTTGCTTGGTTCTTTTTGCCAAATCATAAAATGGACTGTGTCTACAATGAAATTCAATAGTTAAAAGCTATTATTTTACCTATGAAAGAAAGGGATTCTACTGGCCACTTAAGCAGCTGGAGGGCACAGGTGTTCATCTATCAAGTACAGCTGATGAATTGTTTCAAGAAAGGAGTAAAGGAAGCCTTCACTACAGACAAACCAAAGAATCCATTTCTGCCATCATTAGCAGCCTAATGGAGTGTGTCATGACTTTGCTAGCTCTATGGGACAAATCTCCATAGCTGTAAAACAAAGACATAAACTAAAGTATGAGGGATCAATGTTGGCATTGAATGGTTGCTTAGATGGGGGGCTTTAAAAGATCCAGGGCAGAACAGAATGAAGCCCTTGGAAGGTCATGTCTTTGGAAGTCACAAAGAAACATGAGGGGGATGATCTTGTCATACTGTCAATTAATAAGTAATAATGAAGTAAAAATAGGCCTGAAGGTTTTATGTGAGTATGAAATTAAAAGCACTATGCATGAAAGCAAATAATGTTTAGTGCATGGTTCGACATTGAATAAGTCAAGGAAGGAGGATGTATTTATGAATCAATATATGGGGAAAGCTTGTGATGATATTAGAGGAGTTTAAGTTGGAGATGTGACTGCATGTGTACTTTTGTGTGCAGATGATGTGTGTTGTTGATGGAGAATATAAACCTGTAACAAACTTTAGCTTGCATAATGGTCTGAAAATTAGTTTATCGAAAAACAAAGTAGTTGCCTTTGATGGGGAAATGGAGCAAATTGCTGCAAGTTATACATAAATGGTAAAGACTAGTGAAAGTAGATTTTATATACCTGAATACAATGTTTAATAAAGATTAGGAAATGGTGGAGAACTTTTTAAGAATACAAATGTTTGTAGAAAAGTAATATAGTTATGTGCTGAGATAGCAAGGAACACTTTTTGTTGCTGCTGTTGGCAGAATATAAAATACTTACATGTAGTGATGTGCTTCTGCCCAATTTGTTTTATGAGAATGCAAGTTTAAGTGGAAAAAAACCTAATTTGTTTTGAATTATGAAGTTGAATGCAGTGGGAATGGAGTACTTAAGTAGTGTGTGATAAAAGAAGAAGCGATGGGTTCAAGAATAGATGGGTGCTAAATGAATGTGGACAAACAGGCAAGTGAATTATCACTATGTAAGAAACATGTTAAGATGCCTTAGAGAGGCAGAGAGAGAGAATGAATGAGAAGTGAATTGTAAAACAAATATATGAAGAGTGAGATAAGATGAATACCTAGAATGTTATGGGTGGGCGGGAACTGATGAGATCCTGAAAAAGAGAATTGTGAGAAGCTTAGAAAATAAAATGCAAAATATAAATTGTGTATGGAAACAGTGGAAGTAAGGATGGTTGAAAAGGATAAAAAAGTATCAAGGTATAATAAATAGGGTTGGCATAGTTTTAGCTACTATATTTTTCTTCTTTTGTCTTATCTCATGCTTTTTAATTCCTTAGGTTTAGTGTTTCTTGTATCTTCTGTGCATTCAGCATAAGATTGCTTACCCTGAAAGAAAATAGTGTCCCGGGGATGCATGTAGCAAAGGTAGATAGGTAAGTAGATTTCTTTATTTTTTATTTTATTTGTTTTTAAAAAAGAACATTCTTCACAAAGTTGCACAAAAACCAATTAGCAGTTACTAGTTGTTACCTGCAACTTTGAAGAGATAATATAAAAATATTACAGAGAAGAGCTTTTGATTTAGAGGTTGTTTTTCTTTGCTTCAGTTTGATCTTGCAGGAAGAAATATAGATTGTAGGAATAGAGGAAACGTTTGGTAAAGACATGTGCAATAAAATGCCATGATCTCAGTATCTGGTTACCTTGAATACCTATGAGCTCACCTAATTAGTAGAACCAGATGTAAGGAGAGAGGAAAGGTTACGTACAGACATGCGCAGCAAGCCTCCATGACCTCAGTGACAGATGACCTCAACTGTTTATTAGAGCAAGGTAGTACCAGGATATGCGAAGACTCTACTCTGGCTGAGATGGACTTAGATATTGACAAGTAAAATGTGCCAATAAGATGCTGTTGCTATCCCTGCTTTTGCTTTACTTGTTAAAACTGTATAGAAGCCAAATAAACTCTGCGTAAGACAGATAGACATTTTGGACAACACTGCTGTGTTGGATTTCTGAGACCTACAATAGATCCAGGTGTATTGAGCTGCTGATAAGAAGGCAGTGAAAAAATGGTTTCAGATAGCATTTATAGATTCTGCTTCTTAATAAGAATAGGTTGCTTCCAACCAAGTACCGGTCATGAAGTACTTCCTAGCAGAGTATTTTGTATCTATATTGGAATCAGCATTACAAAGCAAGCCATATATAATACTCAGAACTAAATATAATACGTGGAATTGATTATCGTGGAGAATCTGACATGACTTGTTCTATTGTACACCGAATAGTATTTATACACTTCAGTGGCTAAAAACGGTTGTAGTGAATATTTTACTATTCTGAAAAAAAATCCTCATTTGATATAAGTATGCAACTTAACATTTTTCTGTATGCATCTTTTTTGCACATCTTAATTAATATACTGATAATAGTGCTTATTTTGTTGCAATACTTGCATTTAAAGATATTTTGATCTTTAATAATTCTTTAGTAAGAAATAAGTGCTGTCATCCAAGCTCTAGGTTTTAGAAAAGTTGAAAAAGAAACTGCAACATTTTGCATCACATACCTGAAAATGAAAGATCCCTGCATAAGTGTGATTAAATCCTTGGTTTTTAGGAATCACATTTTCCAGGAACTGCTGTTGTTGGGTCAAAGCGCCCAGAGCTGCTAAAACCCAACAGTCACCTTAAAGAAATGAATGATAAATTACAAAAGTTCTCATACACAACTTCCTCTCCAAAACTCACTATTAGTTCAATTTTGGGTCTTCAGGTTTGTAGAATGTTGATTTTTCCAACATGTCTGGAACATGCTGGGAAATCAGCAAGAGATTAATTCTTTCTTTCTGTCAGATCCCTAAAAGTGATACTGCCATTCAATAGGGAGGAGGGGAGCCTCGGAGTTAAATCATTAGCTACATCTGTAACAACTGTGTTTTACAACTGGTTTCCTGTCACCAGAAGACCGAAGGTCCCAACATCTCTGGAGGGATGTTTATGATAACCATGTGGGATATCTTACTTTAATGCCTAACTAGAGATAGCCATGGGAACGTGTGTTTTATTGACTCCCAGGG